TGCTCTTAGGTCCTCTGGGAGGAAACTGCTACAGCCTATGAAAACTAGACTGTCAGCAACCTCCCAAAGGACCTTCTCTGCCTCCGCTCCCAGATTATGGAATGGCCTGCTAGATGAGATCCGTCTTATTACCAACCTTGACAGCTTCAAAAAAGCAGTCAAGATGGATCTTTTCCAGCAGGCCTTCCCTGAATAACATCCTGGCCCAAAAAGAAAAAGGAAAGGAGAAGATATTGATTCTGGCTCTTAATTGCCTCTGTCATGCTGCTACCTGTACATCCCTTTATATTGTATTTATCTTATATCCTGTATTTTAACTTATTAATAGTTTAATATGTTTTTAAGGGGTGGGTGGGTTAGGGAAGGGGATTCTTGGATTATTTTAACTTGTGCTGTTGTTTTAATTTGTTGTACGCCGCCTTGATTGTGTTGCAGAGGGGTGGGATAAAAATTAAAATTACTATTATTATTATTATTATTATTATTATTATTATTATTATTATTAAACACATTAGCCCTTCTCATTCCCATACTGCCCCTTTTCTGTTGTTATGGCCAGATCCTTTTCACAGGAATGACCTTGAACAGGCTTGACTTGTGCCTTCCAATATTATCTCACCACCTGTGTCTGAGATAATCATGTCCCTGTGTAGCCAAATCCTTAGGGGAATTTTTGTAATTAGCTCAAATATTGCAAGAGGTGGGTTGACTACAAGAACCCGGGGGTCGCTTTCCCAATGTTTATACCAAGAGACCATAAGATTCCAAGAAATGAGGCTGAGACTGATATTAACAAACTAAATATCCAGTTTATTGAAATAGGGGGAAACACATCCGCTGCACATACACACACACACTCATTCAAGGCTCAGGAAAAGTAGGGTTGGAGATTGGAACAGAAAGCAGGCTTTACTAATGGTAATGCTTACCAAGATGTAAATCTCCCTCCGAAGAAGCGAATGAGATGTGAGATGGTGGGGGGCAAGTCTAGCTCCGCAGCCTAACTTTTAAGCTGACTTGCCGGTGACTAGCCTCAAAGATCGGAGTGACATGGAGTCATTTTAGATCTCAGAGTTAGCACACACAACTGGTCAAAATCTGGGGCTTATATAGAGCCAAAATGGGCTTTGAAGGCAAAAGGGCAATAAAGATATTGAGGATGCCCTGCATAGGATTTCCTTTGTAGTTGGCAGTCTTCATCCGAAGAGCCCCTTTCCCAGGCAAGGTGTCAAAATGCTCTTTCCGATGAGAGGGGGGGTTGTAAATCTTGGGTGCTGTAAAGTGCCTGGGTGCTGTAAAGTTGGGGTACATTACACCTTTTGATGTCCCAGGGTGCTGGTGCCTGGCTGACACAAAGCATCCATCAAAGGCCCATTGAGGAAAGTCCCTTCCGCAACTCTCCAAGACTATATGTGAGATCTGCATAAGGGAAGGGGGGTTGGCCCAAATCATGGGAGCCAAAGACTTTTGTCTCCAATTTCCCTGCCAGAATGCATCTGGAGGTCATTAGGGAATTCCTCAATTTTGATATCAGAGGAACTATGGGTAGCATATGAAATTACAGGTACTTCGGGTAACACCTGCCATAGCTGTTTCTACTGTATAATCCATCACACAAACTTCCCAACATTTGCATCTGTAACTCTTCAGAGGCACTCTTTTGTTTTGGGATAAGACAGAAGCAAAGTAGGTTTTGAGCAGTTCCATTTTCTGTCAGGTGTCACTAACATTTTTCCATCTTGTTCATGCAACACACCTACCATTTCCTTGTTCTTCCTCTTTACTTGAATACAATTGAACCTCCATTCATCATCACTACCACCATCATCATTACTGGATGAGATCTTGCATTGACAGATCTATCTACAGCTTTTTCACCATAGTTACTTCTGTCAATGCTAACCAAAAAATCCTACCTCTTAAGTCAGGCACCATCCCAGTCAAAAGGTTTCCAAGATGCTGTAGGGGGGTTAGGGAATGATGACTGCAATCCTCTCCCAGTCTCAGGGTACACTGAAGGGGGATGCAGACCAGGGCGTTTGGAGCGCCCTGGTCCGGAGCGCCGCGGAGCTATGGCAGCCTCACCGCGGCGCCTCCCCGGCGACCCTGAAAGGAGCGCCAAAAAGGCACTCCTTTCATAAGTCGCAAAAAGAGCGCCCTAAAAGCGGCGGGCGCCCTTTTTGCGACTTATCCTCCACAGCGCATCCGGACGCTGTGGAGGGAGGTCGCCCTGAACGCGTCCGGCGTGCGGTGACCCGGAAGCGTTCAGGGCGACCTCAGGAAGAGGAAGGGCCGCCGCGCGTGCGGTGGCCCCTCCTCTTCCTGGCCTCGGAGACGGCTCAATTGAGTCGTCTGCCGAGGCCCTGAGACAGGCAAGTGGAGAGATCCTTTGGGCTCCAATCCCAACTGCTTCTCTCAATCCACCCCACAACCAGGGCAGCCCAGCATAAGAAAAAATCTCCAAAATCTGCAACATTTCAAAAAACATTCCATTTAGGTGAAGCCTGGCTTAAGAGGTAGATTTTGGGGTCATGTTTGGTCATTAACAATTATAAAAGTGAACCCCAAAAGGTTTAAGTTCTTAAGTCTGGCTTGTGACCTCAAAAATATTGAATGGGAAGCCAGTCATTATCTGTTTTAGAGATGGAAATTTGTAGATGAAACAATATGCACAATTATGTCCCATCTCTTATTGTGATACTTTTTTGGTCCATTTTCAATTTCTTGCATCACTAAGAACTCCTTCTATTCATCATGGCCATCAGCATGTTCATTATTGGTATTATTATTTGATTCCATTATTATTAAGATATAGATTGGGAGGAAACTATTTTCTCCAATTGTCTGTTACATTCCTAAGTCTACTAATGGTTTTATTATTTTTGATGATCTCAAGCAAGGCTCATTTAATCTTTGAAGAATGGAATACTCGGCAACAGAATATTGTCAGTTATTATCTTTTATTTTCAAATTGAGTGTTTTCAGGAGAGAAAATATAGGTTGATGTAATGGGTTTGTTTAGTAAAATCATGGCTTCAGAGAAGACTGCAGAGGAGTGGGACTGAATCAAATGGCAATGCAAGGTATCTCAAATATACTTAAGGGTGCAGGAAAAGTTTCGCAGTCCAAATATTTACCTCTGCAGTAAAACCAATGCTTTTCAGAATGTTGTGATCTGATCTTCAAGTCAAAAAATGTGCACAAAAATGAATATATAAAATCATAGAGTTGGAAGGAGCGCCATGAGCCATTGAGTTTAAT